AAGAGCGTGACTTTCCGCTGAGCCTCACCCGGAAGAAGGAGTCTTTTTTTCATTGTTTTATTCATTTTTTTCGGGGAACCGGGCATGATTGTTGTGCACCAGTTTATGATCAAGTCAGGTGAAGACAGGCGGCTGGAGGGGTAGTTTCAAAGAGATGCATCTGAAGTAGCTATTCATGGAGAGTAGGTCAGCTTTGAGTTTTTGTGAGGGAACTTGCTTTTCTTTTGGACTTAAACTTTTTTGTTTATTTTTTTTCAAACTTTCTATTTGACTTCCTTTGGCTTCTGTTGGCTTTGGGTGGCTTGTTTGTTGGCCTTTCCTTGCATTTGGTCCTCCAGCCCTTGAAGCCAAACCCAACCAACCCCCAAAGCCAAGCCAACCTTCCCCCAACCCCCTCCTGACGCCAAAGCCAACCAAACCCAGAAAGCCAAGCCCCAACCAAACCCTACCCTGAACCGAGCAAACCCTAAAGGAGCCATGAGGCGAAGAGTGGACTAGGCTAGGTCCCGCTCGGGCCTCAAAAAAACTCCCTCCATCACTTGGCTGAAGGACTCGGGCCTCAAAGCGCCAGGGCGTCCAAGAAATCTTATCCAACAAAAACGGACAGCAATCCATTCCTTCAAGAAGTGGGCGGCCTTTTGTGAGAGTTTTGATGTCCAAGAGTCTTTGAACCTTCGCTTTTTCTGCTGCCACTCAGCAGCTGTGTGCCGATTTGGAGGAGCTCAATGTTTGGTTGGGGATGCTTCTGGTGATTGTGCTCGTCCCGGCCACTTGACTTGCTGCTTTAACAGATTCAAATCCAACAGGGAAAGGGAAAAGACAAAACTTCAAATCTTCAATCATTCTTGCACATTCTGAGGGAGATTCTTGTACCAGTGCTCATCGCATCATGTGATACACGCAGAGCGCACAACCTGGTCCTCAACCTTTTGCAGGTTCTTGAAGTCCAATTCAGCTCAGGCCCTCAGGCCCTTGGTGCTCAGGCCCTGAGGCCTCAAGGTTTCTAAAAAGAAGTGGAATCACCAACAGGGCGAGTTGGTATGTGGCACCAGGTAGAAGCAGTCATGCTTCTGTGGAAGTTCAAGTTGATGGGCTGGCACAAGTCCTTTGTCGTGGGCCTGCTTCTGCGGCTTGAATCTATTCAGTGAGACCCTGTACTGTACCGGACTGTACCCATTGATCTTCTTGTCCGGTGACTGTGAAGAGTTGATTCAATAGTACTTGGATCTGTCACAATCCACCTGAGTTCATCAAGCCATGGCAGGTTCATCAAGTCACCATCAAGTCACCACTAGCCTCTACAGGACACTGTCCTCATGCAGCGGTCTCTTCTTAAGATTCTGAAGAGGCTTCATTGGCTTCTTGTCAGAAGTTCTCGCTTCATCTCAATCCCACCTAACTGACCTTTCACATGTCGATCCCAAGGAAGTTCTCCATCCTGTCAATGGTGATGGAGCTGGTGGAATGCGCTCTTCACTTCCAAGGCCCTCGGCTTTCTCGAAGGGCGGTACAGGACGGTCCGGCCTTTCTCGACCGTTTTCGCCCGTCTCCGTCTCTCTCCGTCTCCAACGACGGCGAATTGGTCGGCGCTGTGGTTTGGGTCCCATCAGACACCCGCAGCGTGGAAGAGACACACGCAGCTGAGACTTCACGTGTCGAAGACTTCACTTGATTTTTGGTGCTTAGCTAGTGCCTGCGTCAACCAGGCGAGTGCGACGACACTGGTCTTAACTCTCACCACGCAACGAGGGCGGGGTGCGGTTGGTGCGAGGGTTTTGACCTACATGGACCCGCCGCTATGTCATTCTTATTCATTCTTCCTTTGAAAGCTTTGACAAGTTGGCTGTTTGCTCAACGTTTTTGCCAGGCGCACAGCAACCTGGCAAAGCGGAGGGACCTGGAAGGATGGCCAGGTTTGTTTTCCTTTTTACAAAAGGTTCTGGGATTCTCTCGTGACTTCCTTTCGCAAGATGCCCCAGGGCCCGAACGAATGACCACGGATGGACTTCCCAAGATGGTCCAGGATATAATTGTAGAGAGGAATCCAGGTTGAGGATCTAAAATGGTCTGATTTGGGATGTACGGGGCGTTTTCTCCCCCCCCCCCGGTGTACCGGGCTCCGAGAAGAAAACAGGGCTCCGTGGGGCAGGCTGGGGGCGACGAAGGGCGACTTGCACGTCCAAGGAGAAGTTCCTGTTGCTGTGGTGACCGTCCTCGATCGTGCTCACCCTATTGGGATGAGTTTCTCTTTGGAGTCTTTTTTGCGCACAGTCAGATGGCCATTGAGGTGTAATATTACTAATATGTTAGTGCCCTTCCCAGCTACTGGGGTACCGTGAGGTTCAAGAGTGCAGCAGACTGAACCAGGCAAAACAAACACAGGAGAAAGTCTGTTTTGATTCTTCCAATTTCTTTGAGATCAGCTCGACTTCATGGATCAAAGGCCTTTCTTCCCGCTTCACTCATCCAAGGAGTGCGTGGCAGCATGAAGACATGGTTGTTGCTTGCCCAAAGGATGTGATTGCTTTTTTGAAGATCAAGAGGTCCGAAGCAACCCTGCCCTGCAAATTTAGAAGATCTACAGGGTCCAAGTCCTAGAAAAAGACCCAACAGGGACTCTGCTCGCATGCCCAGCCAAGGTACTCACATCGCATGGCCCAGGACTTCTTCGTGTCGTTGCTGATCTTTCTAATCCTCTCTCTGACAGGCGCGCTTTCTCCGTGTCGGTCAGGCCCCAAAAACGGCGACTCGAAAAGAACGCCCCGACGTCGCAAGGTTTCGCCGCTTCCGCGGCTTTCGGCCGGTGGTGAGGCACCCTGTGGGATGCCCTTCGCAAATGCTTCTGCGGCTGTGAAAGCGAGGGTCTGAGTCGCAGCAGTCGCCTTGTCGTTTGACAAGTTTGTGCTTTCCTTTGTTCGCAAAGAGTGTTGGTGAAGTGGCTGAAGCCACCTTGCCAGCCTGCGGCTTGCACAATGTCCTCATCTACCGTGACCCTGGCGGCATCCACAAGCGCCAGGAGATCGCCATTGTTCTTCTAGAATTCAGGGTGAGAATTCACAGATGATGCGAGGATTCAGTACAAAACATGTGGGTGTCTGAAAGAAAAGGAAGATATGGAAGACCCAGGGCTTTACTCACCTTCAAAGGAAGGACGTGTCCAAATTTTCTGTGCATTGACTTGCAAACACCTGAATGATGATCTGGAGGATTTTTGGACTCATGTCGAGAGTCCTGTTTCAGCGAATTCGAAGGTTGGGCTTCTTTGATCCACATCATTTGATAGTGGCATGTTCCAGTTTGGTCCTTTGAGTCCGTTGCTTGGGGAGTCATCTCCGTTGCTTCCTGCTTTTTCTGTTGGTGAGACACCAACGGCAGGAGAGGCGCACTCAGCAGATGCTGCATGTGGAAGAGTCACCTCATGAGGCTCCAGGCGCCCAGCGGCTGCTGAAAGACTCCGCTTTTTCCCATTTCCCTCCGAAGACATTCAACTACAGTACTTATGTTGTGCCATGAGTTAATGCAAAAAGGGTGGTCCAATCAGCCATTTGGTCCAGACCTTTAAACAGAGTCAGCTGTATGTTGTGCTGGTGTACCAGTCTACCGGTGTCCCTGGTTTGCCGCCGCTGCGGAGGAATCCGTGTTTTCTGCGGTGTTCTGTTGCAAACCACGAGGGTTTCGGTGCCCTTGGGACACCACACTGGACACCGAGTCGGATTCGACGTCGCGTTTCCTTTGCAACGTCGACCGCGGAGCGTCCAGGCAGCTTTTCTGCGGCAACGCCAGCGAGTCGTTGGTCGATGACGCTTCGATGCTTCCTTTGTGTTCATGTATGCCAATGCAATGCTAACAGTGCTGCTAACAGAGCTGCCAACATACATGTATGATCGTTGGCCTTGAGCATGCTGTAGCAGCCTAGCACCCTAGAAATTGGTTGATTAATTGATTTCTTGTGATCAGCCTGTTACAAGCCATTCAAGGCCCCCAAGGTTTGAGCGCCAGGCCGAGACTGGCACCGCATCCTTCCGTGGCGAGGCGGCCAGTTGCATATTGTGGACCGCTGGAACCCACAAAAAGAAAACAGTGTAATACAGTGTAAGACAAAATTAAATAACAGTGTAAGACGCCCCATGAACGCCACATGAACAACAAGATTCCTGGACAGCGGACCTTTACATGCACAGAAGACTTGCAAGAAAAACACCACAGGCTGCTGCTGGGCCCACCACCATAGCTTGAAACTCAGTCTCAACATGTCATGATGTTTTCAGGCAAGAAAAGCCTTCCGTTGGCATCTTTGCTTGGTCTTCTTGGTCTTGTTTGGCCCTCAAGAGTTGGGTCTAGGTAGTCGGAGCCGTGTCCAGAGCCGCTTTGCCATGGCTTTTCCACCCAATGCAATTCCAGGTTCATGGTGGCCTGGGCATGACTTCAATGGACGCAGAGGCGAAGACTTGACATCTCGCGACGGCTGGGGCATGGGGACATGAAAGAACCAGGATTAGAGAATCTGGTATGGTCTGCATGGAAGTTTAGCGACCGCAGCCAGCTGGGGGAAAGAGGCCATGCAAAGAATTGGAACCAATGTGATAAAAATATTCCGAACACGACTACTGATCCTTCTGAGGGTTCGACAGGGAATTGGCAGAGTAACTGTCACAGCAATAGCCATACTAGCCAAGCGCAATAATTCCTGATCACGCTTGATAAATGTTACTGTAGAACAGATACACACCATATAGTACTACGAATATCAATAATAGTAACGATAACAATATATATATATATATATACATGTATCATATATATATAATATACATAAATATAAAAACAAATATATATATATATATTGTATGTATGTATGTATTCACATGTAATGAATCCATGGATCTGAGACCTATCCATCCAGTCTGTCAGTGGCACACCAGGCTAAGGGTCCCACCAGTGGCACCAGTGGTGGCACTGCATCCTTCAGTGTGGAGGCAGGGTATGTAGATACTGCCCAGAAGAGCCTTTTTCAAGCCATCGTGTATATGACTGTATATTGTGCTCTCTTCATCAAAAACATGGTACTTTGAACGTGACCCGGCACCCACGTACATCTTGGGCTCAAGCGAGCGCCAATGCGCTGGGTGGGGCCCACCTTGAAAATTTTCTTTCGACCGGCCCTCGGGAGCCTTCGCTGTGAGATGTTGGACATAGATGACCCTCTTTCACTTGGTGGATATGGTGATGACTTCGGCCGACGAAGGGGAGCACCCAGATCACGTGCTGCGCCGAAGGTTCCTGTGTCGATCTTGTGTGGCTTTCTAGGGGCGGGGAAGACCACGATGGTGCAGCACGTGCTGAAAAATCGTGAAGGGCTCAAGGTGGGTGTCGTTGTAAATGATGTTGCAGAGGTGAACATCGACTCCGAAGTGCTGCGTTTCGAAGATGCTGACGGCATCGTGGGTTTGCAGAATGGTTGTGCCTGCTGCTCCGGCAGGGCTGATTTGTTTGCTCGCCTTGAAGAGCTGGTGGAGAGCACAGGAATCACGAAGCTGGAGAAGGGTTGGGACCGGCTGGTGGTTGAGTGTTCTGGCGTGGCTGAGCCAGAAAGCATCGCTGCCGAACTGGAGGACAGGGCGAAGACGGGCGACCAGTTAATGAAGAGGCTGTTCTTAGCAGGGATCATTTGTGTGATTGATGCTTCTTGCTTCTGGGAGATGTACAATTCCGGCGATCAGGGCGACCAGGATCGCAAACCCTTGTCCAGTCTCTTGGTGAGCCAACTGGAATCTGCTGACACAGTGGTCATCAACAAGACCGACTTGGTCAGCAGTGAGGAGTTGAGCAAAGTCTCGAAACTTCTGAAGGCGCTAAGCCCCAACGCACGGCAGTTCGAGTCCATCCGAGGGCAGCTACCCTTGAGGACTCTACTCCCCGCAGAGCCCATCGATATGGAGATGCCGGCGTATGTCCCAACCCTGGCAAACCGGCATAGTGCAGCAGTGCGAAGTGTGGGGATGTCAACCGCCCATGTGGCGCATGCGTCCGGTCATGGTCACAGCCACGAAGGAGCTGAGGGCGACTGCAGCGAATGCGCGGCGCCGCTTGGCGCGGCGCGCCACGAGCGCTTTGGCATTTCCAGCTTCGTGTACCGGCAAGATCGCTGGTTTCATCCTGAACGATTGGCCGCTCTGATTCGAAGACTTCCCGTGACTGCTGCCAACATCAGCTTCGACAAGGCAAGCGATCCTGTCCAGGATCAACTCTTTGCTGGTGTGCTTCGATCAAAAGGCTTTGTTCGGACCTGTGACTCTGATCAAAGCTTCTACTGGTCTCATGCTGGGCGTCGCGTGGAGGTCTTCCCTACAGCTACCTCAGCCAAGAGCCAAGAAGTGGTTTTCATTGGCACAGGCCTTGACCAAGCTGCCATCTCGGCAGCCTTGGATGCTTGTGTGGCTACCGATGCAGAATGCGCAAAGTTGTGACAAAAGGTTTTTTCCATCTCCAAGTTGATGTCCGCACGCCTGTTGTGGTGTTTGCTGGAGGTCTTTCTATGCACCTTGTACACAATATAAAGACGGCTTCCAGAAACGTTCATGTCACTAATGCACTACATGAGATAAGCAGGACAACAGATGTTGCTTGAACTCTGCCATTCACAGGCTGGGCCACCTGCCAGCCCTATGGCTGGAAGCTGAGCAGAGCACACACCACGGACCTTGATTCCGACGATGGATGACAGAGACCCGCAGGTTGGTTCTTCATTTTGACCAGCGCTTTTTCAAAAAACCAGGGGTAGAAATGGAGGGTACTCCATTTCTGAGGCATGTCTTCAAGATCTTTCAACTCCAAACTGGCACTTTTCCAGATGGTTCCAGGGAGCTATGCTGCCGTAATGAACTTATTTGGGGTCCTTTTGTTGGTATGGTCTGCATGGAAAAGTCCTAAGGATGGCCTGTGCACCCGCGTGGACAGCGCGGACGACCCGGAGGCTCAATAGGTGAGCGGAGAGAGCGGGTTGTGGTGCTGATGCGGCTCCAAAGGAGTCGGCACTAAGGAATTCACACACGCATAACAGGCTAGTAGCTTCTTGCTCCGTTCGTAGCGATGCTCTTGTGACGTTCGTAGCTTCTTGCTACTAGCAGTAATGCCAGGAGCTACTCGTAGCTACTTAGCTTCATGAATGCTTCATGCTGTCACGCTGTACAAGATGGCCAGTCAAAACAGCACATCGTCATGCTACTCCCGGACAAGTTGAGCAATTAGGGCAATGCGGGCTTTGTGCGCCGTTCTGTCGTTTTGATTTCTCCAAAGACACAAGACGCTTTTGAAGCTTTATGACAAACAAACGCACCCCCAAAGCCACTGGTACCACTATGTGCCACTTGTTGAAGTCAATGAAGACATTCCTTTTTGAATCCCTTTTCCATGCCCGGCTCGAGTTCTTTTTGCCAACAAAGCCTGCCAGGCGAAGAACACGACTCCTGAGACAAAGCACAGCGGGAATCGTTTAAAAGAGGATGTGAGGATGTTCACCTTCGGTCGATTTGATGGGCCGGGTGCCCGGGTGCAGGACTTCAGCCCAAGGAACGCAAAGAGGGGTAGAACTGGACGAACAACGAACGCTCGTTTCTACTTGTCTTCAACCAAGTTCTGATTCAGTGGATGAGCTTTGAGCGATGTGTGCGAACTTCAACGGCCGACCTGGATTGCCTGAACGCTTGTCTAGTTTTATTCTATTCTCTAGCTTAAGTCAAGAGAGGCAAAGGTGATTGAGGGTGTGTACACACAAGCGTGGGCCTCCCTTGTCACAATCATATCGACAGGTTCGTTCATGAATCCGGGGGTCGGGAACAAGTGACCAGCAGAGCAGGGACTTGTTGAAGCAACTCGCTGACACACGGGACTCTGTCGGAATGTGTCATTTGTGTGCATGCAAAGGGCCTTCGGGCTCAAGTCTGAAGCTAAGCTTCACCACGAAGCTTCAAACCGCCATGGCTCTTTACCTTTGCTACTTAGCCTCTTGGCAGACATGGCTCGGTAAGGAACGCTGAAAAGACGTGGAAGTTGTGGAGTTCACAGGGCCGAGGCCAGACGTATAGGCAGGCCCAGACGTCTTTCCTGAAGAAAGAGGAGCTGGGCCAGACGTCTCAAGTGACCAGTCTCAACATGGACCGAGCTTTCAAGCGCTAGGCCATTGGTGCTCTGCTGCTTCTGGTGACACGTGGGGTCCTTAATGAGTTCAAGCAGTGCCAAGTTGAGCTTCAAAGAACTGCAACAAGACGGCCAGAATTGAGCCATGCCATGACGTCATGCCTTTCTTCTTTTCGAATCTAGTACGATGTAAAGATCATGACGAATGTCTGCGAGGCCGGCCATGTCTGAATTTCACGGCCGGAGCGTTTGGGCAACCGTTGCGGCCCATGCGAAGCCCTGCGGTGCCCGCAACGGCCGGAGCCCTGCGGTGCTGTTTGTTCCGGGGCCCGGCGGTGCTGTTGAACCGATCCGCTTTCCAGGTGGCTCAACCCATAGAGAGCGAGGATGCCGGGAGCATAGCTTCAGTGTGGTGCGGAGTGTTTGGGATTGGAAGGGGTCGACCCCAGGACGTCAGACTTGTACTTAGATGTACTCAGTAGGCTTTTTTTGGCTCATCGAATTGGAGCTGTTTTGGTCATACATCGCCCAGATTCTGCATTGACAGTCGCAGCCGACCCCTTTTTGTTCGTCCCCAATCATTGGTCGTATCCGATCCAGGTGCACATTTCCCAGACCATGATCCAAACATCTAGAGTCTAGATGATAGAAAGGCTTTCAACTCCTGATTTGATCGCTCCATGACTGACTGGTGCAACTCATGTAAAATGAGGGAGGCTGGATCCATGTCGGAATCGTTATTGGGGGCGAGCTCCTTCCCTCATTCCCTACATGGACTTGTCAGATGACAACTCCCTGCTGAGCTACTTCCGGTCCACTCTCCTCGGCCTGGCTCCAGCGACGTTCTTCTTCGCCCGCGCGTCCCGCTCGCCGGGGCCGGTGGTGGAGGCCGGACTTCGCGGTGGCACCGGGAAAGGGCCAAAGATCAACTCTTCACATCTCTAGTCTCTTCACATCTCTTCAGCACCGGGCTCAGGCATTTTCAGGGGATTTGGGTCCACAAGAGCATTCTTGCTTCTAGTAACAAGAAGGCTACTAGGGGCTCCTGGCATTGCTACTAGTAACAAGAAGCTACTATGTCACATCGTGGAGCTCAAAAGCGCTCGTCCGGCCCCTTCTGCAGGACGGTCGGTCGCTTGCTGGTGCGTTTTCTTTCCGGCCTCTTGGGGCCGGCGTTACATCGGTGTTTCTCATCCGCTTGGGAAGCCAATTGAGAGGCAATTTTCTTGAGCATGTGTCTATCTCTCTCTCGCTCTATCTATATATATAGTGCTTATACACTTTATTTCATATATCAAGTCATTGTCATTCTGCATGTGCCTTGTACAAAATGATGAGATGTCAATGATGGATCTGAAACGGTATGGCTTGTTGACGTCTAGGAGACTTTTGAAGTTTCTGACTCAAACAATCTGGAAACTGGTCAGAATCCATTATCACGCAAAGTAACACTATGGCAAAGAATATCAATCTCTATGCTGAAGATGACGAGGCTTCTCATTCCATTTTTGTAGTCAGGTTAGGTCCGATAGGCTTCTTCCTTCGTTTGTGGAGCACAGAAGCCGCCGATGGCCGGTGGCCTCGATGTTCGGCCGCTTTTTCATCTTCTCGCGGAGAACTTCTTCGGGGCCGAGCCCAGACATGACAACAATCCAATGGATCCTAGTGGGTACTGTTCGCCGTTGGCCATCATCCCGGGTTTTTAGTTCATTCAAATCTCCACCAAGCAGTTCAGGTGATTCATGGAAGGGTTCGACAGTCTTCACTTGATCGGCATGTCATGCTTGGGTCAGGTCATGCCTTCACCACGGCGGCGCGCGTCATTGCCGCGCGCGGTGATGGCTGTGAGTTGGGCCACCTTGACGCTGTCCACGTCGGCGGAGGACGGCGGCCGAACGGGGGTCTTCCAATGATCTAGCAGTTCCTCGAACTCAGCACCCCCATTCCTGAAGGCACATAGTGTCTTCCTAAGCAAAATAGTTGTCTTCCAAGTCCGCAAAAAATAGAGGCACTTTGGAGCAGGGATTGGCGGACTGCCAATCCGTTGCGTTCCGCTTGTAGGACTTCAGTCGCATCCACTGGGCCCTGGTAGATAGACCCAGTGCTTGCATCCAATCAGAATGAATTTTACATCAGTAGACCGAGCAGTGTTCAACACCTCCCTGCTCAAGGGGAAATGTCCCTGCTCATGAATCCTTTGGACATTCTTCTCCACAGCACCTGGCCGGTTCTCAGAGTCCTCGGTGAGGACTCGACGGGGTGCACCATTACGGCCAAAATATGCTTGGCACTTGGCGCGGCGAACATCTGCCTTCTTGGTGGATTCTCAGAAGACAAAACACAACGAAATGCTGGAATTGTCCCATATGTTCAGAACTAATTGACACACATACCAGAAGAATTCTTCAAGCAAAGAGGGTCAGGCAACGTATTTGGATTGGATTTCGTGTTCCTCGAGGCTCGAATTTTCCCGACTTCCAGCGGACGCAGTTTCGGGATGACATCGGTGAGACCCACGTTCCGGGAGCTCAACGGAGAGCTCAACGGAGAGAACGCGTTTTCTCCGGAGCGTGGTGGGCGGGGGAAACTAAGACCCTTTTGCGTTGGGAGCTCCCGAACGCCGCATCGCGTCGCCCGTGCGAAACAGAATCCACCGCCGAAGATCTGCTGCCATGAGGTGAACGCGGGCGGCAACGATGCGGCCTGTTTGAAGCGGGCTGAGGAGGGCCGCCTTGCTCATCAGTTTGAGAAGTGAAGATGACATCTGACAGGAAGAATCACATACTATATCATACTATATACTATAGATGATGAGTTAGTTGAGCAAGAATGGTTGGAAGATTTTGGACGACTATCAGTAGAGATGAGAACACATTTTTTAAGCTGCTGCTTCTCTTGCTGGTCGCAGTGGGTGGTACACCCAGTTGTGTGCACTGCTGAGCAACTTCGACCTGAAAAGCATTTCGGCAAGCTGTCCTGTTTGAAAACATCTCAATGCATGTGATTCCGTTGCGGTTGCGGAAGCAGGACTTTCACCACTGGTGTGGCAATGGTGCGTCTGATGCACAAGTGGCTGCCAGCTATGAGCGGGAACAGCTGAGCCAGGCGCGAGAGGGGATCGTTGCAAAGACGTCGGTTGGGGCGAGCTGGAGTGGCCACTCCGAGCCAGATGAAAAGAGAGTGTTCACTGCTTCATGATCTGCTCCCACTTTGGAGATGAGTCAGTCTAAAATGAAGTGTAGCACTGTGTAGTAGCTGCACATTTAGAGGTGGGCCACTCATTGTCGGACAATATGCTATATAGATCTATATAGTATGTTTGAGTCACTAGAAAAGTTGTTTTCTTTTCATTCTTGGAGCCCCAAGCACCCCAAACTGCTGCCTCTTTTGGGAGTCCACCGACGTGGGCGAAGAACAGGTCTATCATCCAGGTGCTTGTCCAGGTGGATGGTCCCAGTGGGACGCATTTTGCTGCTTGGAGTGGTGCAGGGCAGTCTGTTCCGTTGGGCTGTTCCCATGGACTCGGACCTCAAGTGGACGGAGCAGAAGTCTTTTTCGCCATATCTGAGTATACTTGCTTCTTATTATACATTAATTGAACAACTATACACATACACAGAGATACGGGGTTCTTCTCTCTGGCTCCATGTTAGCATTTGGGTGGCAAAAGTCCGAAGGGCACAGTTCATGATGTGGGAGGAAACCCTTGACCTCCAAGAGAGTGGTGAAGGTCACAGACGGGTGTCAGGAGGCCAATTCACTGAGGCTACAAGCACTTCTGGGAGAAGAAGACCTGGTTCGAGGTGGGAGTTGAGCTTTTTGCCATCGTTCTCCTACTAGAACCCATGAGACATGATCATGATGAGAGAATCTTTTCCCACATTTTTCACTGTTTTGACTTTCATGGAAAGAGTCTGAATTTCAGGCGGAGGCCTTCTGTCGCCAATATGGCGAAGGCTCACACTTAGCATCGATCCATTCGAGGGCCACTTGGATCCTGCTGTGGCAGCGTCTGGACCGGCCAATCCCAAGTGACTGAACCAACGGCAAGAGGATTGAAGTAAAACCAGGTAAAAGGCCTTGGAGGCTTGCAGCTGGCTGGTGTGCTTCCAAAAAGTAGACCACTTCTTCCATTCTGCACGTTGTGGGCCTTTTGTGATTCTGGCGGCCCCAACATGTCCAAACTAAGGCTGAAAATCGATTCATTTTCGCCTTGTCGCTTGGTGGCACTTTTCCCATGAAGTTGGAACTTTGCCGTTTGTCTCAGCGGTTCACAACCAAGGACTGGTGGCCTAAGTGCCTGGATCGGCTACACCGACCTAGATCAGGACACTCACTACAAGTGGAGTGACAACACGCAGGACGGGCGTACGTTCTGGCGGGTGCGGAAGACGAGGGGACCAGTCCGGCACCAAAGACACAAACAGGATCAGATCTGTCAAGAGTCCTTAGCATCGAAATCTCAGCTCTGTGCAGCTCAGCTTTGCAGGATGACTTCTCGAACTTTGCCAAGAACTGCACCGGCCGTCCTTTGACGGGCTTGGGTTGGGGCAGAGGGGAACCTCAAAACCCGCTTCCCAAACAATCCTTTGTTGTGGACGTCGGACATGGGGAGAGTCCAACATGATCCAGCCTCACCTTGCTAACGCGGATCTTTCCAGTCACTGGTTGCTTGCTTCGTGTATTCCTGGAATCCAACATCCTCGCAGACTTGTCCTTCACACCTGGTTCCCAGGTGAACACGAGCCGGACTGTAAGCCCGAAGAGCGGCAACAGCAGTGGTATGACTGGGAAGGCCATGATCGTGGCACCTTTGTGTGCAAGCGGCCGCCGGGCAAAGAACGGACATCGGCAGAGAAGTTGGACTGGGCTCTAAAAGGTGACGAATCGTCAAGTTGGAAGACAGCCATTTGTAGGAAGCGACCTAAGAAGCTAGCTACGATTCTGTCTATTTCGATTTCGACTCAGACGGCCCCGTTCTATGAAAGCAAGGAATGCATTGTTGCCGGTTGCCTTGCTGCGCAATGTGTCCGCCAGGATCGCAGGGCATTCCCACTTGTTGGTGGTACTGATTTTCCACTTGTGCAAGCACTAAGCTGCAACATGCTCACTCATGGTTGGCTCTTTGCTCGTGTTGGCCACGCCTTTGGTGTTGATATTCGAAGATATTCAAAATGCATTCTCAAGTCTTGACCCATCCCTGAAAACCCTTGGCACACATTTTGTGCTTTCACTTTTGAGTTGAGGTTGTTTGGAATCCTGTATGCAAAGATGGCTTGATTTGACAGTATTGTTCCTTTTTTCAGAGAAAAGCCATGCAGAAGCGCGTTCACGGAAGCCTCTGCCGGTCGCACTGTGGGAGGATCTTGATTACAAGACCTTGGCACGAGCTGTTGCCCACCTTGGCATCGAGCCTGGAATCGAACACCACCAAAAGCCAAGTGTCGCTCAAGGCACCGGGCCAAGTGTCGCACTGTCAAGGCTTGTGGGGCAGACAAGGCCTTTTCCCCCGCCAGGTTCACCGGTGGATGGCTCCACAAATGTCTGGGGCATATATTGTTAGAAGTCTTTGGATGATGACGGACACTTGCCGCCCACATCTTAGGATGCTCAATTCAACCAATCTGCAAGCACGCGTGACGAAAGCCTTGCCAGGTGGATGCCATCGCCAAGCCTGAGGCATCGGCCGCGGAGGCAGGGTTTCGCCCGTTGTTCCGACAGCAATCGATTCGAAGCCGAAGAGGAATCGGCAGAAGAATCGGATTGACACGAATCGGATTGACAGGCTCCAGTGTCTAAGATTGAGCCTTCAGCTGTAATTGCAGATAGAGCCTTCTTCAGAGCCTTTCGGCAGTTCCAAATCTATGAGTTCCTTCGGAATCCTAGCAGCGACACGTCCTGTTGAACGGCGCGGCCGCTGGCGATTTCGGGTCTTCTCGCCCAGGGCAAGCCGATGCTAGAGCCGCGGTTGGGTTTCTTCAAGGTGGGAGAACGGATTTACACAGCTTGTCCCGTTGAAAGCCTTTGTTTCGGACACTCAGCTGGATGAATGCTTTGCGAGTCGGAGGGTTGGGTTGGGAAGATGACTGACTTCACCCAACCGACTTGGGGGTGCAAACGGAGTTGCTGTTTGTAGTTTGCTGAGCTTGTAGGCGATTCGAAATGGTTGCGGCAGTGCACAAGTCACCCTTTCAGGAAGACTTCTAGCTTCATTAAATTTCACTGTTGAATCCTGTTGAGCCCATCCATACCAGGGCTCCTTGTTCTGAGAAGGATGGGCTATGCATGGTGCAGTCCACTAGAACAGCGGAACGTGGCATGCACTTGATCACCAGCAAGAAGGATATACGGTATATACATGAGCAGCCATTCTCTGAACCTATGGTGTTCACCGTTGGTGAAAAAACAAACAGAGAAGCGACCTCTAATCTCTAACCCGACCCCACCAGTGCTTCTTGTTTTACTGAAAGCTGTTTTCCCTGCCATGTGTGGCAGAACAGCACCCAAACCAGCCATTATTTGTTAGCCTAGCCTCTTTGGAGCATGTCCATTTTTCATATGTTGGTGTTCACCCTTGCTGGCGTTCCCAGATGGGAGTGTACATACGGCACGAGTCGGCTCGTCGAGTCGCCGAGTGAAACTGCGAACTCGGGTCCCAACGAACGGGACATCCGCCTTTGAATCCATTGTGGTTCCATTGTGGTTCCATGTGTTATGACAAGCCGATGGCTCTCTTCAGATTGCATGGTTTACTCAGCAAGGGAAGCGTTTCACTACTCGGCATGGCGAGAGAAGCGTTTCACTGGGCACAAGTGCCAAGCGAAGGCCAAAGGAGTGAAAACAACAAGGGTCTCTTTTCAACCAGAGATGCAAGCCATCAGGAAGGCAACCAGCTCTTCGCAACCGATATGATCAGCTCCTCTACGGCTTGACCATGCGCCAACTTGGTGAAAGCCATCCCGTCTTGGGCGTTCTTTTTAAAAGTAGTACTTTGGCTCCTACATTGATCCGCCCGAACGAACTGAGTTTGTCGGTTTCACTCCTGGAAGACCGTTTCACCCCAGGTGCGACCTCATCGGACAGCTGCCGTGGGTCTTTGTGCCCTGGCGGCGGCCCTCGCAGCCCGCCGAGGCCGGTGCCTGGGTGGTCCGTCTCTCCGTCTGGGTTGTCTCATAAAGATGTTCTTGGGACCGCACGAGCCAGTGTTTTGTGAAGAAAACACCAAAAACAATTGCCTGTTATATAGTAACAGGCAATTAAGAGTCTGTATTTTTGGCTATAGATTCAGATAGAACATCATGAATCATGAGGGTAAACAGACCGTGCATACAATTTTCAATCGTTTTCTCCAGAGGCCGCTCCAGAACCGCTAGCCGCGTCGGGACCTGAATGGAGTGGACACCAGTTGCTTCATCTGAAATCACTGGCTTAGCTTCAAGTATGTGATTTTTCTTGACTATGTCTGGCTGGGTTGTATGTAGATGATCACCAGCATGCTCAATATCCGCAGTTGCCAATCTCCAACCCAAAAGGCCGAAAAAGCACGACATGTCAGGCAAAACAAAAAGGTGTGTGTCTGTGCGTGTCTGTGTGTCGAGATGTTCCATTTCTTTTTAACACAATGTGGTAGATTGCATATCAAAAAGACTTGCATTTGCTGCTTTCCCATGCTCATGCTGAGATGTTGAGAGCCGCACACCAGGTGATCATGCAGGTGAGAAAGCCGACGCGCTGGGCAAAGTGACTGAGCTCAAGAAGCGATTTGCTTTACGCGTTGAATGTGCCCATATTACCTCAAAGAGCAGCCGCCAAAGACAACAGTTTTCGTTGATCGTTAAAGCACAGGCACTCTACAGCACATCCTGCCCCAGGTGCTTTGGGGAGAAACCACTGCTCACCTGGGGAGAAACACCTGCCACAAAGGCCAGCTGCCAAGGGCATGAAGCCGATGATTCACCGCAAGGAGACAAGGCCCACCGAGTGAACGAGAGCTGCCGTTGGTGCACAAAGAAGGACCCCTGCACCGGGACAAGACGAAGGACCCCTTCTTCGGTTTCGCAAAGACCAACCAACTCTTCTCAAGCCCAAGAATCCCAAGAACTTCCCTGTTGTCTGACAAAGAAGCCTCGCAAGAACTTCACCATTCACCATACTGTCATGGCAGTTTTGTACAAAGCCAGTACTCAAGGTGCCCACAAGACATGCAGCAAGGTGAAGATGCTGCAAGTTGATGTACACTTTGAGATAGGTGCCATCGTTCTTCTCGCTCTTTCGTTACTCCGGCACTGTTCGGTTTGGATAGCGTGCCGTCGTTTGCTGCTCAGGGATGTTTGGATGGACGGCTTTGACGGTGCGGGGACTGCAGGGACCGCAGGGACCGCAGGGACCGCAGGCCTCGGTCGGATGGATGGTACGGACGGTCGGATGGAACGGCCTCCGACGCTACGAGCGACATCACACTCACACCTAGCGGCTCTGATCACAAGGAATGCTTTTCAGTTGGTGGTGGCTGCATGAGATTCTATATATCATATATATATATATATATACATACATACATGGATACTAGAGAATCATCGGCAGCCGAGATGAGTTGCAGAAGTTCTCTTGACAGCTCACTTTAGTATATATACATATATACTATATCTTAGAGGTATATGCCTGCATGCTTTCCAGCAGACGTTGCTGGGTTGTCATCAGGTTGGCAGAAAAACAAGGATAGAAACTTGGATTTCATGGAGAAGGCTGGATTCTGGTCTAACACTGTTTTGCAATGCCATGATTTGGAATGCCCTCCTGGAAGAATATATTCTTTCGGGTCTGTATCATTCTTCGATTCTTCGGAGCCATTCCTGCGCCCGTGACCGACAGTACCCTATCTCTGGCAGATGTGGGCCGATAATTGTGTATGCCTCATTCTTTTTCGGAAGCCCTTTGGTGGAATTCTTGAAGGTGAAATTCTTTTGATCCCTTACAATCAGCAGTCCACATGCCGCGAGACGCCACCAGCAACGCAGGTGGTCCGCCAGCAGTTGCATGGGCGGATGCAGATGCAGTTTTCGTGCCTTGGCAAGATGTGACCACATTTCATTGAGTAGCATTGTCCTCAAGATTACGCACAAAAGTTCACTCACTCATTCCTTTCTTGTGCGTAGCATTCCTTCCAACATCAGTGTCCCTCCAGGTCATCGACTGTAGACCTTTTTTGCCGCTTTCGTGTTGGATACCAAAAAGCAAGAAGAGACGTGACAGGCGTTTGTTTAACCTATATCACTGGGACTGGGAGCAAGACTTTTGTCAGGTCGGAACATTTCTTTGATGCTATGCCGTTGATGAGTGGGATGTCAACTTCACGAAGAGTCCAGGGCTCAACGTCTGCAAGCTCTAGGATCCAGAACAGAATCCTTTGATGAAGATGTTCCTATTGAATTGGGCTGGAGGAGAGCGAGCAAAAGGGGCGGTTCAAAATGCGCCTCTATAAGGGCCTTGGTGATGCGAGGGATACCAAAGAGGTTCAACAGTGCATCTTTTGCATCAACAAGTGGCCGTGCAGCAGGATGTGTATGGTTCTTCGCCCGCAATCATGGAAGTGGTCAGCTGTAAAGACCTCAACCTGCAAGCATGCGTGTCAATGGTATAAAGACCTCAACGAAGCAGGCAATGTGTGATATCAGACAAGGACCGTTTTCTGTATTGCTCAGCTGTGAAGACAAGCAGGCATGTTTCGCTCTAGCAGCAATGAACACTATCTAAGTGGTCCAAGAGAGGGTGGGCCGAAACGCACCGTGACCAACGGATGCAACGAAAGGGCACCGTGTGGTGGTGGTGCTCCTTTTCATCGTTATTGTCAAAAAAGGGCACCGGCAAAGGAGCGATCCTCTGGGAAGACAGAGGCGCAACGACGAAGGCAATGCCCTCTCCGATCGTTTTTTCACTCAACGCGGTGAAGACCTGAGCGGTTGTTCTGTGTGGAAGAGAGTTGCCACCCGCGACCTAACCGCGTGGCTTCCGACGGGTGTGTTGAAGGAACGTGTCTACACAAGCGCAAAGTGAATTGGATCTAGATGCAGGGGACCGGAGTTTCTTGGTTGATGCCCTTTTGCGCTTTATTTGAGGGCCGTTTTGCGGAAAAAAGGCACGAAACGGGTTCTGGCGATAAGGCCCGTAACAAAGCCAGGACATGGCAGATGTTCCTTGAGCACTTTGATTGAATCTTGCGAGCCGCTGTTTGAGATGAACTGTCGATGCAGGTCCAGGTATGGAAAGACAGTGTTTTAAACATCTAAATGCAGAGAGCCGAAGCAATTAAGCCGCATTTCTCCCAAGGGTGCTCGTCTCCAAGACAAAGGTGTTCAAGTTGTGAAATGAAGGGGCAAAGGGTTTTTTGACCTGTTTCAACCCCAAAGATGCACGAGGCAATGGGAAACGGAGAGGGTCATGACTACGATGACATCTTCTACGTGCGAAAGTGACCCAATCGCGCTGAGCCGCTTTGCTTGTGTTTGATGCCGCCGACCTTCGGACAGGCGTTGCAAGCGTGATGGCAATGCCGTTTTCGCACGGGCAAGGGCGTGTTCTAGATGACAGTGTCCAGAATAAGCGGACCCTCCAAAGACCTTTGGGAAAAGGGTTTGTGACAAGAGGTTATACGCCAAATTACTGGTAAATCTTGGTAAACCGCTATGTTTCAAGGCATCAAGGACCATCAGCCACTTGGTCATTTAGATACCTAGCCGCCAACAATATGGTATGTATAGCTCTGTAGGTTCCAATCGACAATTCACGGTTGATGTAGAAAGTTGTGTGTCGAAGTGTAGCAACAACCACAAGCCAGCAACAGTTTCAATCACCACCTGTTGTTCATTGATTCCGCGATGGCTTGAGCCTTCTTCCTGTCTCCAACGTCAGGCATGTTCGCGCGTTTGTGGGCGGCAGTTACTGCATGGTTCAGACGAGAGAGAGAGGAGGCCAATGAAGCTGCTAATGAAACAGTGCAAGCGAGTACAGATGCGCTTGCGGCAATCGCCGGCACAGATCGCTTGCAGAAAGAGCGAACGGAAGCCCAGAAAGCTAAAAGTCCAAGAGAAGATGCACCTTTGTCACCGGCAGCACAGTTGCAGGAAGATGTGCAGGTGAAGGCGACGAAGCTTTCTGCTACGAAACTGCCAGCTGAATCTTCAGCTATCAAGGAGAAAGCAGCCAAAGTGCTTGTTGCTCCTGCCACAGAGTTGTCCAAAGAGCTGCCTCAAGGGCAGGAGCAGAAGTTTGAGCATGTCTCTGTGGCAGCGTTGCCAAGAGCGCATGCAGATGATCAGCAAGTACAGGCAGCCCTTTCTACTGTTTTCCAGCTGCCTGAATCAGCAGCTGCCATCAAGTCGACAGACACGAACAAGTCTGCCCTCGCTCCTTCCGCAGAGTTGCCGAAAGAGCTGCCTGCAGGGGAGGAGCAGAGGAAGCCTGAGCGGGTGGCAGCGTTGCCGAAAGCGCGAGCAGAGGAGCAAAGCTTGGAAGCCCTTCTCTCGGCTGCTCCCAAGACGTCTGCACCTGCATTGCTGAAGCCGTCGGATGCATTGGCTCCGTTGAAGAATGAGCCACCTGCGGAGCGGCAATTGAAGCGTTCAGTTGAAGCAACAGTGAAGGCTTCACCAAAGCCGAAGAAGGTGAAAGTTTCTGCAGATCCGTCTGTAGCTGTTCCTCCTTCAGCTTTGGAGGACTCCTTGCAGAAGCAGGCAGACATGCCCAGTGTGCCAAAGGAACTTCCTGTCCGGAAAGAAGCACCCATTTCTGGAAACTCCGCCAGTAAATCGGAGAGTTCCAATCAAACGGATACACAGGCCTTTGCCTCTTCCAAAGCTGCTGAGAAGGATCGACATACAAAAGAGGGTGGTTTGAAACCTAGCGTGGTAGAGGAGATCAAGAAAAAACTTCAAAACAAACAGGAGAGGCACCTTTCGAGTGCTTCGGCTTTTGAGGAAGCTCGAAAAAGGCAGAGGTCCGAAGAGCCATCTGTGAAGAGGCCGAAACGAGCTGTGCTGAAGCCCAACCGAAGCGTGGAGGAGCCCAGGGTAGCCAGCTCGAGCTCGGCTGAGCTACAAGGGCTTGAAGAGGAGGAGATGCAGAACGAAGAGGAGCACACCTCGGAGCTCACGGACTGGCGCTTCTTGGATCAACCGCTCGAAGCCCTCGAAGGGCTCGAAGGGCCGGTGGAGGGTGGCACAGAGAGATCCAAAAAGAAGAAAAAGAAAAAGAAGAAGCGTGGAAGCAGAGCCGAAAGGGTGGAGCTTAGCTCTGTGCCACCGTTGAGTGCACCCTCGTTGGCTGGTGGTCGAGTGGAGCGAGAAGAAGCGAGTTGGACTCGAAGCCCAAGCCGCACCAAGCCAGAATCGAAGGAGAGAGACAACGAGCTCGAGCAGTTTGAACCCAAAAAGAAGAGAGAGAAGAAAAGAAAGAATGAGAGGAAGACAAAGGCCAAGAAGGTGATAATGGAAGAGCCCCAGAGTGAAGGTGAAGATGGACACGATGTTCTTTCCGTGAGCTCCGGTAGCACCAAGGAGGACTATGGAGTTGTGGATTGCAAGTTCATTGCAGAGAACGATGCAGCCCTCGGTTTGCGACGCCGAATCCAGCGAAACAAGAATAAAGCCCTAGAGGAGGCGAAGAAAGAGGAGAAAAAGGCACGTAAAAAGGCCACCAAAGCTGCAGAGAAGGCCTTAAAGGCTTTGCGCAAGGCCGAAAAGGCCGAGGCCAAGGCAGGCAAGAAGGGAAGTCACACGGAAGAGGCCTCCTGGGCGGCTCTAAAGGAGCTTTCCGGAGGGGTGGAATGAGATGAATGCCATCCCTGCCCGTCGGACCCGAAAAGACTCTCCGCAAGACCCGTTTGCTCCTTGCACGAAATCTGAGGCATTTGATGAGGGAGAATAGAGATCCTCTGGCAGTTTTACATGCAGAAAACACCTACAAGGTCAGATTTGAAAAGGAAGAGGCCCTGTGGAATCAGGTACTTGGAGCCAGCCAAATTCAAGAAGCTGGCTTTGGGCAACTGGGAGATGTCGGGGTCTTGGCCGAATGGGTTGATGGTAGATGTTGGCCAACGAGTCCTTCTTGAACGGTGCAAGTATCTGTATGTCTTTAAAGATTCGCTGCTTTTCCAACATCTACTCTGGATACCAGGCCAATTCCGCAACCGTACTTCGATTAAACCGCTGTTGGTCGGTTCGAAAGGCACCAATAAGCCCATCTAAGCCCAGGCCAGAGAATGCCACTCGTGTCGTGACTTTGCCCGAGCTGGTGGATGCAGGCGGCCGTGACGAAGTCCGGAGTCGGGTTGGTGACTGGGAGGTGCTCCAAATGCTCTTCTTGAAGTCTGCCCAAATGGGCACGGCCCTGGGGGTTTTGGAGGGCAAAACCACCGATGTGCAGGCGTTCAATACGGCCATAAGTCCAACATGTCCGGAGGCTGAGCTGCTTGATCTGGTGGCTCACCCATCTGCGCTTCAAAAACACACACCGTTGGACGAATGATGATGCACCGTTGGGTCATTTTTACGCCATAATGGTGTGCTGTCGAATTCGGTGGTGGATGAGAGGAGACACCTCGAATTCTTTTTGCAGAAGGTTTGTCAAATCACGGAAGGCTTAAGCACTTGGTTGTGGTCGGAACTCGTTGGCGCAGTCGGCTCTTTTTCTCCTTTCATTCGACGGTGCTGTCGAGAATTTGCAGCGGAGCCGCAATAGCCCATCCATCTATTACAGACCTTCTCTCATGATCCACAGCCGGTGATGATCCACATCGGGGTCCTGAGTCATCGAACACACACGAACATCGAGTGAGGTGGAACCCCAAGATGCTGAAGTACCTCTATGCTGACAACGGAGCCGGGACACCCAGTCATGGACCCGGTGTACCTATGTTTGATCAGTACCTGGTGTGCCTGGTCAGACGTGCACTAGATGGCAAGAACACATGAACAGCAACCCAGCACATGGCTTGTTGCAACCCCTCTTGCAGACATGCGACCGTGATCAGTGCGATCAGGGTGATCGATCAGGATGGTGTTTTGAAGTCATCGTGCATGTGACAACTTCCTTATAGCCACCCCCGGCAGGGCACCCACATCTTTGACCTGGTTCAGACAGCGGCCAACCTCAATCGTGCTTGTGGGGAGGCTCAGATGCGTGATGCGAGAGAACGCTAGCGAATCCAACGAGAGTGTTGCAGTGTGAGGGTCTTGGTAGCTAGAACTAAGATGTCTGGCTAGATTAGATGCTTCAAGCTTTTGACAAATATATCTCCCAACGTAGTGCAGTGGATGGACCACAGTGGACTGTTGGGAAGGACCACTTGACATCCTTCAATTCCACGCAGACCATGAACCTCCTGCTCGTTCCTATTTCACCGCAAGTGATCGGAAATCGCAGATGTTGTGGCCCATACCTCCTCCCGCTCGATTCCGGTCTTTTTTGGAAAGGAGTACCAACTTATATTAACTTCCGACCCCCCCAAAAGAAAAATATAGAAACAACCTATCATTTAACATCATCGAACTAACCCTACCTTGAGCCCCACTTCTTCGATATTTTTCACCTACCCTGAAACAGATGAGGACGGACCTCCGCCGGTGGTCGGCCGGCGAACGAGGCTACTACTGCATGGAGGCAGCGGCCAAGGGTGCGAACTTCATCTTCATTGGCACCAAGGAGAGAAGTGCTGGCACCAGGGTTCAGGCAGTTCTAGAATCTAGAAACTGGCAGAAACTTGCAGAAACTGGTGGTTCTAGTTTCTGGCCAATCTAGGGCAATCTCATCTCTTGCAACTTGACAAAGTTTTGAGATCCTTCGACATCCTTCGACATCTTCGATGTTTTTTTTTGAGGGGCTCAAAGATGCTGCTCTGCACTTTCGATGGGCTGGGAGTGGATGACGGCTTGTCTCAGAAGCCCCTTCAGTACTGAGTGAAGCGCCTCGGGAATCCATGTTCAGCCTAAGTTGCACTTGCAGAGATCTTACCAATACTTTACAGCATTCGCATGCATTCTCATGCATAGTGGGGCAGGGACCATCTGGTACTTGTAACCAGGAGCAGGCTCGAGAGCAAGTTAAGAAGTATGCCGAAGAGGCTGGTGTTCCCTACTGCGATCTCCGGCTCCTCGGCGGACAGTTTTTTGCGGTTCAATTCATTTCTTGAAAAAGAGCCACGAAGGAGCCATGAGCATTCCAGGCTACCAAGCTACCCAACCAGTCAGTTGCTGGCTAGGGCTCAGTGAGTCTCTGATGGTCTTTGCTGGTCTTTGCATCGAATCAACACTCCAACTCCTGCAGAGCCGACCATCCACCCTCCTTCGGCTGGTGACTTCCCCCTGGACGATGGACGAAGTCTATGAGTTTCCCCGGTTTCCGCTGTCCGAGACGCTGTCTTTGCTGGTTTTGGATCGTTTTGATCCCTTCGAATCTGGAGAATCTATCATAATCTATCCACCAGTCAGTTAGGGACACTGCAGTTCCTCCATTCTCGCCCACGAAGCATGGTCCGGAGGCATTCCTGGATTCAGGATGTTTCCCAACCCTTCCATCAGCATGCTTTTTGTTTTCGATTGTGGGAGTTTGGGCTCATTGAAGCAGACTTTGCCCACTGCTTTTTGCCGCTGGGCATCTCTAGAGTTTCGAGCATGCTTTGCTCGAATATGATTTGTTGATGTTTTTCTACACCACCCTTTACTCTTCCATTCCTTCCCTTGGCCGTTCTCCAGCGAAAAAGAAAAAGGCGCCGTGTTCGCCACAAGTCGTCCAACATCGTTCGTCCACAGAGAAGTCGTCCCTGACCGGTCCTGAGGTTCGTGGGTGGTGTGATCAGTAACTTCGCGGTGATTCGCAAATCCGTTGACATGATGCTGAAGCTCAAGGCCCACGATCGGCCACATGTCGCTGCTTTTTCGTCAACAACGGACGCGTCCGTGCGGTCCTTTCTGTGACGAAACCTGAAATGGAGTCTTTTGGTTGCTTTTCGGAACGGAACGGTCTCAATGGGTTTTGTTTGAAGATGCCATGTGATCATGTGGTCTCTTCTTGTGTCATCTCGAGGTAGAACAAACAACCTTTTCGCTTCAATAATAACACCCCTTGGGTTCATGTCTACACTTTTCCCTTTTTTCAATGATAGTACCCTCTCAAATATATTGTCTGCACTTTGCTTTGGTATGACGTTTGAAAAAATAGCGTCCCCCCAAATGATGTCTATGCTTTTCATTTATCAGTAGTTTTATTTGTGATTTATCTTTTTGAACACTCCTTGTGTTTTTTAAATTCATTACCTATTGCCTATTGAAATCCTTTTGGTGCTTGTTGATTCCAATTGAAATCGTTTTGACTTATGTTGATCGCATTTTAAGTTATTTGGTTATTTTCTTGCTTAATCCCTTAATATTCTATTGCACAAATCTATTCGACAAAGGGGTTAGCCCAGTACACTAGAACTGTTTAATAATATAGCTCAACCCCCTACAATAATAGTGTTTGCTCTGTTTGGCTTTTAATTAAAAAAAACCTTGCAATCACGTCTACACTTTTCACCTTTAATAACCATTATGTGTGAATTCACTTTTTTTTGGATTTTCCTTTTTGTTCTTATTGATTACCTATTGAATTCCTTTTGTGTTTTTGGTTGATATCCTTTCAACTCCTTTTGATTTCTTTTGATTACCCTTTAAGCTCGTTAGTTGATTTCGTTTTAACTCCCTTCTTAACACTTTCCAAAGTATTGCACACATCTATTCTACACAGGGGGTAGCCTAGTACAGAAAAGCTGCTGACAAGCAGGAAAAGATAGAAGAACTGAGAAGTAGGAACAGTGAAAGAGCTGAAACGCAGGAAAAGGTAGATCATGGGGGGGTGAGCATCTTTTTCTTCGCTGCCCAGGAAGAGAAGCAGCAAAACGCATGGAGTGTCTTGAGCGAGTTCAAGCGCTTCTTGAACGAGTGCCTCCGGTGGTCGAATGAGGAATCTCCTCGAATTCCGATCTCCTTCAGACATGTTTCGCAAAGAGCCGCTGTAAAAGAGGATGAGGTTTAGCAAAGGCCAAGGCTAAGGGGCACAGGGAAGAAGCGCCACATCTATCTAGGGGAATTTCAAGAGTATCTCTGTTGTCTGACCAGCCTTGTTTTTTTGCCGTTAACTTGGCAGCAAAATCACTCCTTGTTATAGGTGCAAGCTGAATCGAATGGAGAAGAAGTACGCGGGAATTGTGAACTTGACCTCCTACCCTGACATCTGTATCTTTGTGGACGAGGCAGGAAGAAATGCTTTGGCACTGGAGTCACTCTAGAATACAGTTGATAACGTTGTGCGGTTTCCTTCCCCTCACAAATTATAATAAGAAACAACAAAAACTGCAGTTGAGAGAGAGGCCGAAGGCGAAGATTCTCCCACCTCATTATGAACCTCCTCCAACCTCAGTCGATTTACATCATTGCGCGGAGCACCAGGCAAAAGAGCGTTTGCCTCTGGCTGAGATGACCCGCATTGGCGTGCCAACAGTAGGCGATCCAAGTGGATGTGAATACCATTCACTCGTACTGAAGAGGAGTATCACGTGAATGTCTGAGGAGTATCACGTGTGGGACTGCTGGTGACCAACCCCATGTCTGCTTCTTGTAGGCATGGTGGATTCCAACAATGACCCGACCTACGTGGATATTCCGATTCCTTCCAACACTTCCAGCACCAGGCAGGGTGTCCGGCTCGCCAGACTGTTGCGGTGTTCTTTTGCCGCTTGACACATGGAAGGCTTGTCGAAGGGCTGTGGACAGAGATCGTTACCCTGAAACAGGGTGCACGTGACGTGCAGGTCCATTGAGCTGGTGCTCCGCAAGTTGTCTGAAGCCATCAAGAAGGGCAAGGTGCGGAAGACGACGATTTTCGGACGACAACAGGTTTTGGGGTGCTTTGCTTGGACCCTTAAAGACCATCCTCTCAAAGAATTCGTTCAGTACCTCCGCGGTTCGGCCTTGGGTACTGTATATACATATA